CACCAAATTCTCTTAAATATTGCATAATACACGTAGCATATATAGATGAGCGCCACCATTAATGCAAATTATGGGGACCCACAGCCTCGGAGAAGTTGATAAACAGACTTCGAGAAAAAATATTTAAAATTCACCCTGAAGGTGTTTGAATATTTCACTTCCAGTACCACCCATCTTATATATTTTCAAAGCAAGTACATTTTATAATGTAATATGGTACCCAAGGCTTACAGATACGTTGATAGTACAGAGACGGTATATACAGTGTGTGATGTTTCAGGGAGATGTATGTCTCCTGTAACCTTTATCCAACTTTATCTCATCATTATCATCTTATTCTTATTGTTCTTCTCTTTTTCTTCTTCTTCTTCTTCTTCTTCTTCTTCTTCTTCTTCTTCTTCTTCTTCTTCTTCTTCTTCTTCTTCTTCTTCCTCTCTATCTATATCTTATCATGGGCTCTGTATCATACAGTCTTTCAGTACTGTATTAATAACATATAATTGTCATTTCATTCATTTTCATCACTCGGCTAATGTGCCCACCCATATACATTTTTCACCTCCCACCTACACCACCCACCTGAATCACCCACTTGCAACACCCACCTGCACCACTCACCCTATGCCAACCAGAAGCATTTTATTATCCGCCACGAATCACGTTTCTGCATTCGAAATCCAGCAGTTAATGGGGCCAGTGTGTCGAAAGTCACACCCTGAAGGCTCTAATGTATCCATCGTGTTGTAGAGACGTGCTGTTCTCACCAAGATTGTTAACAACAGTCCAGTAAAATCTCTCGAGAATTGGAGGAAGGAGGGGTTGGAGGAAGGCGTAGGATTTGCGAGAATGCTCAGCCTTTCACACTTAATATGTCTAGTTAACCAGTTTTAAAGTTACCTTTGGAACTAGGATGAGTGTATACTTGCCAAACCAGTACTTCCATATATTCTCAATTAGTGAGTCAGTAAATTGTATTTTAGAAGGATAGAGAAATGAAACAGAGCTAGTTTTTACCGTGGCAACGTTTCGCTCAGTGTAGATCCTCATTTCGAGCCACATTCTTAGTGATTACGTTGCTTCATTAAATACTTAAGATCAGACTATTTAACTGTCGTATAGAATAGTCCAGTTGCATATATTTTAGTTCTTAAATTCCTCCCTTTTTCTCTTATATTCACCTCCCTCAACTCTCTACCTCCGTCCCATCCAGCATATCTCCCAACTTTTCCCTCCCTCTTTCTACTTTCTTCAGTTTACCTCCCTCCACATTGGCCGTATCTCCCTCCCTCTCTTCCCTCAGACTAACCATCAAGGCCAAGTGTCCGATGGAGCTTCGTAACTTCCCTATGGACAAGCAGTCATGTCCCCTCGTCATCAGCAGCTGTGAGTTCTTCCCCTCTCTCTCCATTGTTGGTTACCATGGTGATGGCAGCATACGCCATAGCGTCTCCATGACAACCAGAGATTATATACATAGTCAAACGAATCAGATATCGCCACGTCACAGGCAGAAATTTTATTGAGAGTAAGAAATCTTAATTTTTTTCGTAAAAACTAGAAACAGTGCAAGTCATCATTGCCATGGTAACCAAGAAAATATATCTGTTGTTCAAAGTCACTAAATAAAATTCCAGATAATTTACCAAATAACAAGAGGAAAAATACATAACTTCACGATAGCAAATATTATCTTATAATTCCAGATATTAATTTATTAAAAGCATTTACAATATAATATCAGTATTTATATCAATATTAATATAAATATTTTCTGAATATTAATATTAAAATTTTTGTCAATATTAATATGAATATTTTCTAGTATCAGCATTAATATACACATTTATTATGAACATTTTCTAGTATCAATATCAATATTTAAAAATCATATCAATATTAATATACACATTTATTATGACAGGATATACACATACCCTGAGCTGTGTATTTTTCTCAGTGCATATATTTCAGAATTAAAGTATTCTTGTCTGGTGGTGAAGAGGTTATGTACAACCTTAATGACCTAGGTGTAGTCGATAGGCTTTAAGCCCTATTAACCAGCCTTATTATCAATATTAATATTCATATTTATTATCAGTATTAGTATTTATGTAAGCAATATAAATATTTCATATTTAATATCATTATTAATATCGATATTAATATACCTATTTAATATCGATATTGCTACATATACATATTTAATATCGATATTAATAAGTATACATAATATCAACATTAATATTAAATACCAATATTTATTTCCAACATTAGTATCAGTATTGAATATCATTTTTAACATGCCAAATATATGTGATTATGCAGATAGATGATCTGATATTAAAACAAAAAGAGATTATTTTTCCTATAATTTCGTGGTCGAGATATTTTCAGCATTTAAAACTGGAAGTTATGATCTGTTTGTCACAACTATCACACGAGTGTGTTGACAGTGATGACCCCACTCTACCTACTCTCACACTCCACTCTACCTACTCTCACACTCCACTCTACCCACACCTCACTCTACCTACTCTCACACTCCACTCTACCCACACCCCACTCTACCTACTCTCACACTCCACTCTACCCACACCTCACTCTACCTACTCTCACACTCCACTCTACCCACACCCCACTCTACCTACTCTCACACTCCACCTAACCCACACCCCACTCTACCTACTCACACACTCCACCTCTACCCCACACCTCACTCTACCTACTCACACACTCCACTCACACTACCCACACCTCACTCTACCTACTCTCACACTCCACTCTACCCACACCCCACTCTACCCACTCTCACACTCCACTCTACCCACACCTCACTCTACCTACTCTCACACTCCACTCACCCACACCCCACTCTACCTACTCTCACACCCCACTCTAACCCACACCCCACTCTACCTACTTCTCACACTCCACTCTACCCACACCTCACTCTAACCTACTCTCACACTCCACTCTACCCCACACCTCACTCTACCCTACTTCACACCCACTCTACCCACACCTCACTCTACCTACTCTCACACTCCACTCTACCCACACCTCACTCTACCTACTCTCACACTCCACTCTACCACCACACCTCACTCTACCTACTCTCACACTCCACTCTACCCACACCCCACTCTACCTACTCTCACACTCCACCTCTACCCACACCTCACTCTACCTACTCTCACACTCCACTCTACCCACACCTCACTCTACCTACTCTCTCACACTCCACTCTACCCACACCTCACTCTACCTACTCTCACACTCCACTCTACCCACACACCCCACTCTACTACTCTCACACTCCACTCTAACCCACACCCCACTCTACCTACTCTCACACTCCACTCCCACACCCACTCTACCTACCTCTCACACTCCACTCTACCCACACCTCACTCTACCTACTCTCACACTCCACTCTACCCCACCTCCTCTACCTACCCACACTCCACTCTACCCACACCTCACTCTACCTACCTCACACTCCACTCTAACCACACCCCACTCTACCTACTCTCACACTCCACTCTACCCACACCCCACTCTACCTACTACTCACACTCCACTCTACCCACACCCCACTCACCTACTCTCACACTCCACTCTACCCACCACCTCACTTCTACCTACTCTACACACTCCACTCAAACCACACAACCTACACTCACACTACTCTACCACTCACAATCTCAAACTCCACTAACCTCACACATACCTACTCTCACACTTCCACTCTACCCCACCCCCCCACTCTCACCTCACCATCACTACTCCACTCTCACACCCACACTCCCACTCTACCTACTCTCACACTCCACTCACACCACACCTCACTCTACCTACTCTCACACCCACTCTACCCACACCTCACTCTACCTACTCACACACTCCACTCTACCCACACCTCACTCTACCTACTCTCACACTCCACCTAACCCACACCTCACTCTACACTCTCACACTCCACTCACCCCACACCCCCACTCTACCTACTCTCACACTCCACTCTACCCACACCCACTCACTACCTCACATCCCACCCACCCACCACCACCTCACCCCACTACCCACACCTCCTACCTACTCCACACTCCACTCTACCCCACACCCACTCTACCTACTCTCACACTCCACTCTAACCCCACACCCCATCTACCTACTCTCACACTCCACACCTAACCCACACACCTCACTCACCACTCTCACACTCCACTCTACCCACACCCCACTCTACCTACTCTCACACTCCACTCTACCCACACCCCACCTACCTACCCTCACACACTCCACTCTACCCACACCCCACTCTACCTACTCTCACACTCCACCTACCCACACCCACTCTACCTACTCTCACACTCCACTCTACCCACACCCCCACTCTACCTACTCTCACACTCCACTCCCACCCACCTCCTACTCTACACCCCACCACCCCACTCTACCTACTCTCACACTCCACTCTACCCACACCCCCACCCTCCCCTCCACCTACCAACCACTCTACACCTCCACTCCTACCCCACACCCACTCTACCTACTCTCACACTCCACTCTACCCCACACCTCACTCTACCTACTCTCACACTCCACTCTACCCACACCCCACTCTACCTACTCTCACACTCCACTCTACCCACACCCCACTCTACCTACTCTCACACTCCACTCTACCCACACCCCACTCTACCTACTCTCCACACTCCACTCTACCCACACCCACTCTACCTACTCTCACACTCCACTCACCCACACCTCACTCTACCTACTCTCACACTCCCACTCTAACCCACACCCCACCTCTCCACACCTCACCTCCCACACCCCACTCTCACACCCACACCCCACCTCCTCACCTCCTCTCCCACTCCACCTACCACCCATCACCTCACTCTCACCTCACTCTACCCACACTCACTCTACCACCCACACCCCCCACCCCCACCTCACTCTACCACTCTCACACTCCACTCACCCACACCCACTCTACCTACTCCACACTCCCACTCTACCCACACCCACTCTACCACTCTCACACTCCACTCTACCCCCCACCTCCTCTACCTAACTCTCACACTCCACTCTACCCACACCCCTCCACTCCACTCCCACTCTACCCAACCCACTCACCTACTCCACACTCCACTCTACCCACACCTCACTCTACCTACCTCCACTCCACTCACCCACACCCCACTCTACCTACTCTCCACTCCACTCCTACCACCTACCCACACCTCACTCTACCTACTCTCACACTCCACTCTACCCACACCCCACTCTACCACTCTCACACTCCACTTACCCACAACCCCACTCTACCCTCCCTCACACTCCACTCTACCCACACCTCACTCTACCTACTCTCACACTCCACTCTACCCACACCTCACTCTACCTACTCTCCACTCCACTCTACCCACACCCCACTCTACCTACTCTCACACTCCACTCTACCCACACCTCACTCATACCTACTCTCACACCCCACTCTACCCACACCCCACTCTACCTACTCTCACACTCCACTCTACCCACACCTCAACTCTACCTACTCTCACACTCCACTCTACCCACACCCCACTCTACTACTCCACACTCCACTCCAACCCCACACCACTCACACACCCACTCTACCCAACCTCCCACCACTCACACTCCACTCTACCCACCACCTCACTCAACCTACTCTCACACTCCACTCTACCCACACCCCACTCTACCTACCTCACACTCCACCTACCCACACCCCACTCTCCTACTCTCCCACTCCACTCTACCCACACCTCACTCTACCTACTCTCACACTCCACTCACCCACACCCCACTCTACCTACTCTCACACTCCACTCTACCCACACCCACTCTAACCTACTCCTCACACTCCACTCTACCCACACCCACTCTACCTACTCCACACTCCACTCTACCCCACACCTCACTTACCTACTCTCACACTCCACTCACCCACACCTCCAACTCTACCTACATCACACCACTCTACCCACACCACCACTTCACCTACTCTCACACTCCACTCTACCCACACCCACTCTACCTACTCTCACACTCCACTCTACCCACACCTCACTCTACCTACTCTCACACTCCACTCACCCACACCTCACTCAACCTACTCCACACTCGCCACTCACCACACCTCACTCTAACCTACTCACACCTCACTCAACCCCCCCCCCACTCTACCTCACACTCCACCACCCACACCAATTATTCTCCGGTCCAATTCAGACCACCTCACATCTACTGCAATTCCCAACTCCCATTCTACCTCCTTCCTCTACCTATGACTGCAATACCCTATTACATACCCACCTCTACCTCTTTCTCCAACTCATTACCAACCTACTCTACGTGGTCATCAACTGACGCATTATGAAACCTCACTCACACCACGCCTCATTAACAGTCCCTACTATACCTCTCAAAGTCCTTGAATTGAACCCTACTCTGGACTATCTTGCTTCAGTT